CCCCCCCCTCCCCGAGGTGCCCCCAGGCCCCGGTGTGGCCCCCTCGGGTGCCCCCGGGCCGGGTGCCCGTGCCCGCGTCCCTCCCGTCGCTCCGCAACCGCCGCCACCGGCGCGTGACCGGGAACAAAGAGCCCTTTGAGCGGCAACCCCGCCGGGACCGGCACCCCAGGGACCCCCCCCGGGGGGCACCCCGGGGCCCCCAACCCCGCCCAGCACCCCAGGAGCCCCGACGGGTGGTCCCCAACCCCGCCGGGGCCGGCCCTGGGTGCCACAGCGCTCCCTGATTTCTGGCGGGATCCGGGTGGAAAATTCCTGCACGGGGCTGTATAAGTTTATGGGCCCCTCGTCACCGTGTCCCCACGGACCTTTGTCCCCCGGCGGTGGCCCCGGCGCCCGTCCCGGCCCCCCCGGGTCCCCCCCCGCAGCCCCTCGGGCTCTCTCGTGGCCCTTTGCTCCGGGTAGGGGCAGCCCGAGGCCCCCCCGGACTCGTAACAGCCCTTGCACAAGTGGGGGCCACCCAGCAGAAGCCACGCAAGGGGGACACAGGGGTGACACCCAGCAGGGGGTGAGGGACAGGGGGTGACACCCAGCACAGGGTTCTGGGTGGGGGGCACCAGCTGTGACCCCTTTGGTGCCACCGGTGGGATTGGTGGTGGGATGGCACTGGCTGGTGATGCCTGTGGGGTGAGGACACCCCTGGGTGGCAGCGGGGGCAGGAGGAGGGGTATGGTGGTGCTGTGGGCAGGGTGTGGGTGCCGTGGGCATGGCATGGGTGCTGTGGGACTGATACAGGTGGTACAGACCTGGCACAGGTCCTGTGAGCATGACAGGGGTGGTGAGAGCCTGGCATGGGTGCTGTGAGTGCAGGTTGGGTGTGTGAGTGTGGGATGGGTGCTGGAGTGAGGGATGGGTGCCCTGAGTGTGGGATGGGTGCTGTGATGAGTGTGGGATGGGTGCTGGAGTGTGGGATAGGTGTATGAGACTGCCCTGGGTGATACAAAGTGTGGTGTGGGTGCTGTGAGCCAGGTATGGGTGCTGTGAGCTGGATGTGGGTGCTGTGAGCCAGGTATGGGTGCTGCGTGCCAGGTATGGGTGCTGTGTGCCAGGTATGGGTGCTGTGAGCATAACATGGGTGGTGCAATCTTGGGATGGGCTGTGCGAGCCCAGCCATGAGTGAGGGGTGGGTGCTGGAGTGTAGGATGGGTGCCCTGGGGGTGGGATGGGTGCTGGAGTGTGGGGGGGGTGCTGTGAGCCTGCTGAGAGTGCTACCAGGCTGGCAAAGGTGCCATGAGCATGGCACGGGTAGTCCTCACCTGGAGAGGGTGGTGTGAGCCTGGAGTGGGTGCTGCCAGCCTGACACAGGTGCTGTGGGCACGCTGTGAGTGCTGTGGGTGTTCTGTGGGTGCTGTGAACTCAACACAGGTGCTGTGGGCACGCTGTGGGTGCTGTGGGTATGCTGTGGGTGCTGTGGGTATGCTGTGGGTGCTGTGGGCATGCTGTGGGTATGCTGTGGGTGTTGTGAACCCAACACAGGTGCTGTGGGCATGCTGTGGGTGCTGTGGGCATGCTGTGGGTGCTGTGGCCCCGCTGTGGGTGCTGTGAACCCAACACAGGTGCTGTGGGCACGCTGTGGGTCCTGTGGCCCCGCTGTGGGTGCTGTGGCCCCGCTGTGGGTGCTGCGGGCCTGGCACCAGCGCCGTGGCTGGACACGGGGAGCTGCAAGCCTGGCACGGGTGTTGTGAGCCTGGCACCGGAGCTGCAGGGCTGGCACCAGCGCCGCGAGCCTGGCGTGGGCACCGTCAGGCTGGCAGGGGCGCTGCGAGCCTGGCAGGGGCGCTGGGAAGCTTGGCAGGGGCACCGGGAGCCTGGCGTGGCCCCCCGGCCCCCCGGGGCAGCTCCTCCCTCGCCGGTGGTGCCAGTCGGCTGCGAACCCCCCGTGGCCGTGGCCGTGGCCTCTGGCCGGACCCACCCCCGCCGGGTGACTCAGCCCGGGAGGCTTTTCCTTATATAACGCGGCGGCTCCCGCGGCTCCCACGGGAGCAGCCCCTGCCCAGGGAGCAGCCCCTGCCTCAGTTTCCCCACCCCGGGGTGTCACCGTCACCGCCGCCGCTGCCACCGCTGCCATGTGGATGGTGTCCCCGCCGGTCGGTAAGTGCCACCCTCGCCCCGCTCGGCCCCTGGGCAAGGCGTGTCCCCCTCCCTCCCTCCCCTGCCCCTCAAAATCAGCTTTTTTTGGGAGGGGTTAGTAGTAAAATTTGGGTAAAAAAGAGAATCGGCGCCGAAACATCGGTGGGTTTTGCGCTTCCCCCTTTTCCCTGTGCCCGGGGGGGAGGAGATGCCCTAGGGGCACAACGGACCCCCCGTGACACATATGGGATCACCTGGGAAAACCAAAATCACCTTGTTTTCCCCCAAAAGGGGTAATAAAGGCAGCGGGAGCAGCGCCGGGGAGGAGGGATCCCCTCCCTCCCTCGCCAGCACTTGGATTTTGGGGTGAGAAACGCCAGGAACGGGCAAGTTCAGGTGGCACAGCAGTGCTTGTGCCACTCACGGGAACATTCCCGAGGCTGGGAAGGGCAGGGATGAGGCACCGCAACCCCAAACTCGCCGGGGTTTTCCCCCATTTTGAAGACCACAAAGCACTGAATTCGGGGATAAAAGTGAGGGGGTGGCAGCCCCCCCTGAGGCCTCCTCCCCCCCCCACAAAAAAAAAAATTCCCTGGCTCCGGGAAAGCCGTGGATCAGGAGGGATTTTTCCAGCTCAGCCGGTGCCGGCAGCTCCGGGTGCGGTGTCCAAAGGTCGCTCCGTGTCCCGCGGCAGCTCCGGAGACACCGACCCCCAACCCCACAGATACCCCCCCCGATCCTTCCTGCTTTCCACACCCTCCCCCCCAAAAAATATCCCCCAAATCCTTCCTGCTCTCCAAACCTGGGGAGCTGTTTTTGGGATCATTCCTGTGATGAGCCCGAGGGGTCTCTGAGGGAATTTAAGAGGCTCTGAGGGGGCTCAGAGGGTCACTGAGGGTTCTCTGAGAAGCTCTGAGGGGGCTCTGAAGGGGCTCTGAAGGTCTCTGAGGGACTCCAAGCAGCTCTGAGGGGTCTTTAGGAGGCTCTGAGGGGGCTTTGAGGGGCTCTGAGGGGTTTCTGAGAGGCTCGAAGTGTCTCTGAGGGGGCTCTGAGGGGTGGGGGGGGGTTGTTTTGCTCTGACGTGCTGTTTTCTTTCAGATGAAGGATCTTCCTGGCTTTGGGACACGGCAAAGGCGGGGGGCACAGCACAGGACCCTTAAATTCTTTCCCTAAAGCTTAGCCTGATAGGTATTTAAGATCCATACAGAGCTTAAAACCGGGGTTGGCTTTTAGTCTAAGCTTGGGTTTGGCTTCATTTCCTTCACTTCATTCATTTTTTCGCCGTTCTTTGCTCGGTTTCTTTGCGCCTTTTTTTTTTTTTTTTTTTTTTTTTTTTTTTTTTTTTTTTTTTTTTTTTTTTTT